GGTTGGCTGGCACGGATGCAAGTTGCCTGTGGTGGATTAGCCATGACGAGCAGCACCCCGTATGAAATGACGATGGATCTGGTATGAACGAAGTACGAGAAGGCAAGATCCACCAAGACTTACCTCGGATCCACCCTTACCTGGATTCACCAAGATGGATATGGGATATACTATACAAGAGTGGATCGGGTGTGGATCCTATGAAGGAAGGATGGTCGGTGCCCTCTGAAGGTGGATCTAGTAGCCACGGCTAACGAGGAGTCAAGGTCCACCGCGAGGTACCTCGGATCCCATACTTCCGAGTTCGGATCCAAGGAGGGAGGATCCCGCCTTGAGGGACCTGGATCCAGAGTATAGGGATGGTGGATGCAGTGGATCTCGAACTTTCGTGGGACAATGGAGATCGCAGACGGTTGCGAGATAATGTTGGATGATTGGAGAGCTCAGATCCACGACGAGTGTACACTTACAGTGAAGTGGATCCAAGCGACCTGGATCCTGATGAGTGTACCCATAATAGGGTGACCATAATGATTACGCCATGGATCCGGTGGATCTGAAGATAATACAGCTGGGGTGATGGGTCAAGGGAAGAAGGGACATGCAGCCTGAGCCTGGTAAGGGATTTAACGAGGGCAAGACATAGAAGGTAGAGATCCAGGCAGGTATAGGCTTAAGTATCAATACAGACTTCTATTTGCACGATAACACGCAAGTGCCTTCCTGCCCTCAAGAACCGGTACTACATTGGCCGTACGAGCTCAGAGAAGGTTGGGAGTTGCGAATCTAGTGTTGGTAGTGATAATTGGATAATACATTGGCCAGCTCCTACAACCTAGTAAGCGTTCCCATACACGTGCAGATCCGACAGGTTAACCGAATTTACTACTTGGTCGGTTATACCCTAGACGCTCTCAGCTCTCAAGATCCCGTCACAGGAGGCGGCAAGTACGACGCAAAGGAACGCAAAGGCAAGGGACACACCCGCAAGGCAACCCTACGGCCAGATCCACGATCTAGGCCCCGGATCCATAAGCTCGAATATTCGCTTAGGATTCGGAACAATCCACGGACGCAGAGTGAAGATTTTCCACTGCTGCTCCACCCCATCCCCACGTCTCGCCAAGACACTCAAGCTTCACCACTTGAACTCTTCGGAAGTTACCGAGAGAGCAAGATCCCGCCCTACCGACGGGTACACAAGGTGAGGAAAGCTCAGCAGAACACGGATCATCAGGGGACCCCCTCCGTTAGTCGGTGTCTGGGCGCAGTTGGTAAGTTGGATCTGGCAATCTCGCAGATTTTGCTGATCCCGCTACACCACAAATCTCTCTTCGTTTTCACCCGTGATGGATCTACATTAATCTGATGGGGGCTGTCCATCCCTCACTCTTCGGCATGGCCATTATGACAACGCTTTTTTTGGTTTCGTGAGCTGAAGTCAAAGCGTATCCCCCAGCGGAGCGCGATGGCTATTATCCATGTACCACGGGCTCAGCCTATGGTAGCTTAACAGGTGAGATGTCTCTTGCGCACAACTAAGTACATAAAATTGTGGGGGTCACCCCGAAATTGTCTGACAATTAGGCTGCATATACTCCATTCTTTCAACAGGTCTCATCGGTTGGAAGCACATCGCGATATCAGGGAGTAGACGCACTATTGGTTTTATACGTCGTTATTTTTTTGAAACTGCTTATCGTCACCAAAGAAACTCGCCGTAATATAACTGATAACCTACATTACCAGGTAAATTTATACATTAAAGTTTCCCTTTGAAACGAAATGATCGCTAACTATTTAGCCTCCAAATAGTATTACACACTATCGCAAAGCTAAGAGTCTTTACTGTTTGATATAACCTTTACTTAATTAACCATTTCTACACTTATATAAAGTATATCATACACACCCAAGAATCGTTTTTCTAACGACCGCCCCATGCGTCCTTGGGCGAAATCACTGTACTTGTTTGGTACAATCTCTTATAACAAATCATTGAAGATGCATTCAGAATAGTCGCTTCGTATCTTCTTATTCCTTGAAAATCACTTCTCCACACTGCCGTCGAGAAGAGCGAAGAGCTAGATTGTGCCCGTATCAATTAAGAAATATTCAATGACGGACGTTCGCCTGCATTTTAACGCGTGTGCTACTAATACCATGTAATGGCTAGCTTAAGTTCGAATGCGGGTACTATTCACTCTCCAAGTTTTGTCGTGGCGATGGTCAAAGTCCAACACAAGCTTCCGTTTCCTTCCAGGGAGCCGCATGCTGCTGCGAGGAACCAAGTAAACGTATCCCTGCTCAATGTGTTTGTTTCGACTTTGTTAAAGCGAGCAAACGTAGGCGAAATGACAATTCATGTTGGTCGCGTACCAGACGCGTAATGGCTTCTGCCGGGGCCTCTTCTGTGGTTTTATCACGAGGAAAGTGCGGCTATTCTACCTAGTATTCTACCAACAATCCTTCCTAGCCAGTCGATCTTCAACGGGAGCAGAGTGTAATTACACGAGGTAAAACGCATCTCGTAAAAAGTTTAGTACCTACGAATTGGTATTTGCTCATCGTTCGGCAGGCTAAAAAGGTAACGGGCTAAGTATAACCCGTTTTTAAATATCGGCCAAAAAGGTATTTATTTATTAAGACAGTGTTCCGCAGTCGTGTCGCATATGCTCCGATATACTCACGTGAAAGAGCACTGAAAAAAACACTTAGAACACTCTCCATACCGGCTCTAATGGTTCTCTATCACCTTCATAATGTTTAAGTGTAAGAACAGAGACTGGGCAATAGACAAATACAACTCTGTCATGGAAAGTTGACGGCGTGGTCTCGGATGTTTAGACGATACGTAGATGTAACGTCGAATCGGGCCCTGAAACTTCTACCCAGCCCTTCCCTCATTTCGAGCGGTTTCAGCCATGAGGAGCAGTATCAGCCGGGCCAATCGGGTCATTTTCTTGATAATTGCGACACACTTCATGGCACAGATGTCATTTAGGCTGTGCTTGCGTGTCGTAGTAAACAAACAGCGAAGTAATTATGAATTGCCCTGGAGGCAATTTCAATAGTAGCGAGTATGCCGAATGTCCGTCTAATATATCAAGTGTGATAACCAACCACAAAGTATTGTACTGGCCACTCGCATTGTTACACTAGTTTTGATAAACTAAGTTTTGTACTTCTAGATTGAATTTCATAAAGTCAATTTTTTTACAAGTCTCTAGATTCTCGCACTTATGTAATCGCTACCACTTTTCGTAGTTGTAGTGGCCAGATTGCCACTTGAAAATTCCTTTTCCCTCGAAATAACGTTTTCTGTCTGGCACGCGACATTTACATGTAGATAGGTTAGGTTTACCGAGCACTTGGCAACTGTGCTTATTACGTAATATTTGTATCGGATTTTAACCAGCTAGGGAAATATCTAGAGATTTGAAGCAGTTCAAAGCCAGACTTCAATGTCAAATTTGATCAATTCGTTGACTAACAAATTAAATCATTGCAAAAGAAATAGATCACAGCCTGGCAAATGCATCGATCTTATGGTGAAGGTGTTGAACACACGCACTCTACATTAGTTGGACAGGTTTGCAATTATTGGACTCGTATAACGATAATTTCTTAAAATATTAGATTATGAAGATGGCAATTCAACTGCCTTGTGTGAGTACACTTTGACGCCAATGAGTAAATAAGCTATTGAATACATTGATTCAATAATACCAATTTTTTGGCGGTCCATGTAGCCTGGAAGAGGCTGGAGAATATGGACGTAATGCAACTAAAAAATGGTGTATCAATGCACGTGCCCGGTACGATAGAATTTAATATTCCTCATGTCACGATTTCCGATTTTCTACATATTTTGCCACATAATCTCCTTTGACGCTGTTTCGACATATACTGAAAGCCGTGCAAACCGCTCCACTTGCGCTTCACTTGGTAAGAAAGCACAGTACGAAGGCGAGCTGCATGTGCTATTTCGTGGTCCCGAGGGTGTCTACGCATCGTGCGACGAAAACATGAGGTAGTCAAGTTTATTTTACTTTACGCCAACCATCTACTTAGTGCCGTGCAAAACCGGGTATTCTTATCCGACTTATATATTCTGTTCATAATAGTAGGATCTAACTCAGCCTCGGTAAAATGACTCACGGGAGGGCTGATTATGAAGTGTGTAGTCGTTAATGCCATCTAGGTACCTTCTGAAAAAAATGAAGGTGTAAAGTTTCCATAATATAAAATTGCCGACACCTGGCCGACTGTGCCGACAAGACATGATTGGTCGAAAATGTAAGAACGTGCCCATGACCCCGCTCAAGCCCACACAGCTACGCATCAAGATCCACAGCGCGGCACTCAACCCTGCCGACCAGAAGATCATGCAAGACTTCGGACTCGCCGTCACCGGTCGTCAAATCTCATCTGACAAACCCTTCGGTATGGGATTCGATGTCGCCGGTATTATCGTCGAGTCCGGCACCGACACGCACCAGTTCAAGGTGGGCGACGCCATTTTCGCTATGGCGCCGTTCACAAGCTTCGGCACCTTCGCCGAGTTTGTGGCCATCGACGAGAAGTTCGTTGCTCTCAACCCAACAACATCACCTTCGAGGAAGCAGCTAGCATCCCGTACGCCCCGCTCATCAGCTATCAGGCGTTGCATGAACACGTCAACCTTAAGGCGGGCGAGCGTGTCCTCATCTTGGGTGGCTCCACCGCGACGGGCTTGGCGGCCGTCCAGTTGGCGCGCGCGAATGGGTGCGCACGTGATCGCCACGGTCAAAAGCTGTCAGGACCACCTTCTCGTACAGTCACTGGGCGCTGAGATGGTCATTGACTCGTCCAAGCAAAGCTGGGTTGACGTCGTGGACGAGCACTCCATCAATGTAGTGTACGACTGTGGTGTAGAGCGCAAGGCGTGGAGCCGCGATGCCCAGACTGTGCTCAAGAAGGACACAGGTCGTTTCGTGACCATCAACCCCATGATGCAGCCGCGTCTGGCAAAGTTCGGCGCCAAGTGCATTGGCGAGATCATGGTACACGCAAGGGGTGCGCAGTTGAAGGAGCTGTCAGACTTGGTGTCGTCTGGCTCGCTGAAACCTGTGATCGACTCGGTGTATTCATTCGACCAGCTTCTGCCGGCGTTGAAGAAACTGGAGTCGAAAACTGTGCGCGGCAAGATGGTGCTGCGTACGGCCATCTTGCGTTGATGCCTGTACAAATTTTATTTTACTTGTGTTAGTGTATTGTATTTTTCTAATAAACATACAAGTAGGGGGGGCAAATGTGGTTCATTTACATGTGAATTAGGCCATGAAGGCAGGTGACATGAAAAATAGCTTTGTAATCCTATAATGGTTATAGTTGCACCAAACAGTCTCCTCACTAGCTACTCCTTCGCCACCTCAGTGATGATCTTTCCTTTCGCACGGTACGACATACAGATCTTCATGGCCTCCACCAGGTTCTCCAACGGGTGCACCGAGTCGATGATGGTCTTCACCTGGCCGGCTTCAATCAACTTCTTCAGCTCCAGTAGATACTCCGTGCATGGCGCGTTGAAGATCTGATTCTGCGTGGCGCCAATGGGAGACTCGATCGGCTTGTCGATCATGCCGATGGTCACAAAGATACCGGTCTGCTCTTTGAGCACCTTCTGTGCCGCGTCATTCCACGACTGAGACTCCACGCCGCAGTCGTAGATGAGGTCCACCGAGTGCTCGGCTCGTACCTCACTCCACTTGGCATTCGTGTAGTCGATGACCTGGTCAGCACCCAGTGACTTGACCAGCTTCACGTTGCGATGACTGCATGTAGCAACGACCTCAGCACCAAGTGCCTTGGCTATCTGGATGGCGAACAGACCCGAGCCGCTGCTGCCGCCCAAGATGAGCACACGCTGACCCTTTTGGGGTTTGCCGTACGTCGCCAGTCCTTGCCAGCTCGTCTGACCGGCAAGAGGCACACCCGCGGCCTCGTTGAACGTCATGTTGCTCGGCTTGTGTGCCACACGCTTCGTGTCCACGTTGATATACTCGGCGAATGTGCCGGTGGCGTCGAACCACGGCATGGCAAACACCTCGTCGCCCACCTTGTAGCCCTTCACGTCACTGCCGACTTCCACCACCTTACCAGACAGGTGCGAGGTCTTGAAGGCTCATACTCGTTTCTAGTGTTTTGTCGGTAAGAGCGCAAATAGGCCAGTGATGTGGACTGAACTAGTGGCTCGTATTGAGCCGCTGCATATTCTGCCCTCCGTGCCTACATTATACGTCGGCACAATGTCGGTAGCCTGTAAACCTACCCCTAGTGGATATTATTTGTAAATTAGATACATAGATGAATGTCATTGGTCAAAAGGCGCACACTGCTGCCATTTTCCTATACTTAAATTATGACAAAATTATGTGTCGGCACCTTGATGATATTCATCCATACTACAATGAGGGTTTTTATCGGCCTTTCAGCATATCCTATCGTAAAATCCGTATGTAACATTGAGTTGTAAAGCTGAACCTGCAGACACGGCGAATTAACTAGAAAACCGGAGTTTAGAATTATTAACGCACATAAATAGACTCTGGAACATTTCGGAGGGGGAAGGGGGCATTTATTTTTCCTTGGCCGCTGTCCGGTGGGTATGCACCATCAGCAAATTTACTAATAGCGATTGATTGCTCGTTCAAAGTGGCATATAGCCTGGCAGAGCCTACATTCTGGTGGGCAGCGCTCGGTCACCCGGGGAGGGCGCTAGAGATTCAGTGGGATGAAGGGAGGGGGCTGCAAGAATATCGGTGATCCTGTGTGTAAAAGAGGAGAGGGTCATGAATGGAAGGCCGACGGGCCCTTCCATAACCTTTTAAGAGCTGGTACAGACTTCCTCTGAAACTGAAAAGGTGGACCTTCTAAGTTTCCAAAAGATATTTAGAAATCATAGGATACGGATTATTGCCGATCGTAACTACCACGTTTGCGTCCGACTGTGTTGCTGTTGCACCGGCTCAGCACGGTTAGGCGTGACCGTTGGAGCGGTTACTGAACCATTCACTATTGACTGGAACTGCTTCTGGAACGCCATTGGGTAGTCACATGTTGGAGCGCTATGATTGGATGAATACACACGGCATTAGTGATTACGCCACACTTACGAGAAGCCAACAAGAGGAACAACAGAGAGATAGTGTCTAGAGAGACATGTTTAACAGTTTTGGTTAGCACTTATTTACTCACTTCGGTATTTGCCTCTTACTCAACAAGCCCCAAACCAATAGGTTAACAGCCGCAACTACGACTCTACCTGGAACACTGATCCTGGGACCCCTGATCTGGAACGCCCAATAATGATGACTACGAAGAGAGCTGAAGTCCTCCTAGGCAGTGGGAACTATTTTCATTGGGAGTACAACGTGAGAATGACCTTGGCGAGGAAGGGGCTTCTGGCGCATGTTCAAGTGGTCAAGCCCGAGAGCGAGATAACCGAGGCGTGGCTTGTGAACGACGTAAAAGCTCTCGGCATTATTGCTCACGGCGTGGAACTCCAGCACCAGACCAAGATTCGGAGCGCCTCGCGTGCCATGGGGGCGGAGGGAACGCTTCGAGAATTCTACAACCAAACGACGCTGCACAATCGTGTTACGATGACACACCGCCTTCATGAGCTCAAGATGGGGAGTGGGACACCTATGGCCAAGCATCCGGACGCGTTCGACGAGTTGATTGTTGGTCTTCAAACGCTTGGAAAGCCAATAGACGAGGCACGGCAGCTCGTGATACTACTTAGTTTTCTTCCGGACGAATACGAGCTTATCGCGTCCATCGTGGAGAACGCTAAGGACGTGACGCTTATCGAGGCTAAGGAGAAGTTGCACAAGGAGTACGAACGCCTCGAGAAGAAAGAGCCCACTGCGGAGAAGGCGTTCCCAGCGAACGGGAACTCTAGGCGTTCCAAGGGCGGCCGAGGTAACGGTCAAAAACGGAACGTTCCAAGACGGAATGACACGTTCCAAGGCAAGTGCTTCAGCTGTGACCAAGCGGGCCACATGAAGCGAGACTGACCCGTTGGGAACAACGGCAGCAAGGACGATGCAGTGTTTGCAGTGGGTCAGGAACGGCTGGCCGGGTGGTTGATCGACTGTGGTGCGACGTCGCACATGATTCCGCACATGGAGAACCTGATCGAGTACAAGGGTCTGGGCACTGGTATCAACGTGACGATTGCAGACGGCAAGCAGTTGCGCGTCGAAGGAACGACACGGATCAGCTGACGGGGTCTGGACGGAAGACGCATTCGTATGGTCGACGTACCGAACATTCCGGGACTCGACAGACGGTTGCTGTCGGTGGAGAAGCTCGCGGAACGGGGTTTGCGCGTGGAGTTCCAGCGTTCGTCACGTGTGATCTGGAACGCCTACCGCGCGGTTGCCTCGGGCAAGAAAGTTGGCAAGGCATTCCTGCTGTACTGTCAACAAGAAGAAGCACGGTTCGTGCAGTACGCCGGGGCTGGAAACGAGTGGGAGCTTTGGCACACTCGCTTGGGACACCTTAACAAGGAAGCGCTGGCCAACACACAGCGTTCCACGACCGGTATCCCGCCGGTGAAGAATGTGAGCGGCTCTTTGTGCGGTGTGTGCATGAAGGGGAAGCAGACCGTGACATCGCTCCCGTCGATGACGAAGACTACGCGTGTGCTGGAGCTGATCCACACGGACGTCATGGGGCCTATGAGAGCGCCTTCGAAGGGTGGTGCCAAGTACGTGCTGACGTTCCTGGACGACTACTCGAGGTATGTCGTGGCGTATTTCATGAATAACAAGAGCGAAGTAGTCACCAAGCTGAAAGAGTTCAAGGCGCTCCACGAAAATCAATGGGGGGAACGCCAGAAGTGTTTGCGTTCCGACAATGGAACTGAGTTCGTGAATAAGACAGTCGCTGATATTTGCCAACGGAACGGCATCGTGCACCAGCGTACCGTTCCAGACAGCCCTCAGCAGAACGGGGCGGCGAAACGCATGAACCGGACTATCATGGAGAAGGTGCGTAGCATGCTACATTGCAAGTCCATGTCGACAGAGTGGTGGGCGGAAGCGGTGAGTACGGCGGTGTACCTCATCAACCGTTCCACGAACACGGCGAGCTCGGATGTCACGCCATACGAGATGGCGTTCCAAGCGAAACCTCGGATGGATCACTTGCGTGTGTTCGGATCGCAAGGGTACGCTCACGTCGACGACGTGAAGAGAACGAAGCTCGATCCCAAGGGTTTCAGGTGCACGCTCCTCGGGTACGCCGAGAACGTAAAAGGGTATCGTGTTTACGACTGGGACGCGTCCCAGGTCAAGGTGGCGCGTTCCGTGAAAGGAGCCACGCTTAACCGAGTTCGCGGCTCCGACAAATGACCTTATGAAGGAGTGGGCCAACTCGTTGCACTTGTGGCGCCGTATGAACTGGAAGGAGAACGTCAAGTTCTTCGACAACTCGAGTGAAATATCGCAAACCGAAGAGCTGGAGACGCTGCAGCTCCAGATGCACACGCTCAAGACGGTGCGGGGCCGCTCCGTCTCCGCCAACAAGTTTAGGAAACCGATTTGTCAACATCATGCACGGCCAGCCCTCGCCTACG